AGGAGGTATGGTCACTAGTACCTACTCCGTACTTAATTAGTTTTTTCTGATATATACTTTTACTCCAAAGTCAATATACGTAGTATATTTTTGGTGCAAAAGTCTTGTTCACTTTTATCATCGGACATGACCTCCATTTTAGGTTAATTGCACCTATAGAACACAAGTACATATATGAATTACTCCGTTATTGCACAGAAAAAGTCATATATTGCTTATGAATGTTAGTGTGAGAATAGGGGTGAGTAAACCGGGTACCCGGTCAAAATTTTAAGAATTGGGTTCTAAATTCGGAATCGAAATTGACCGAATCCTAAAATTTAGGAATTGGAATTGGAACCACCGGGTACCGGTTTTGGTTCCGGGTACCCATAGCTATTTGTATTTATGTTAGGTATTAATAATGTTTTTTCATTTTACCAACTAGATAAATTCAACATATTTTTATTATTTAAAACTTATTTAGTTTAGCATATATTGGGTATTCGGATAGCCAACCGGTTCCGGTTCCAAAAAGTTGAGAATTGGAATTGGAATTGGAATTAAAACTGGTGGTAAACGGGTCCTTAATTTATTACCCGAAATTGGAACCAGTGGGTCCAATTCCAGTTTCGAACTCGCTGGTTCCTAACCGGTTCCGTATCCAATTATGGGTACCCGGAATTTTTGCTCACCCCTATGTGAGAAATGATGTTAAAACAAAAGTAATGAGTGGGACAGTGGGTAAATGTGAATACGTGATAATAAAAAATAAAAAAAAATAAAAAATAAATAAATAAATAAAAAATAAAAAAGGTGGTAATGCTATATGTAGTCCTTAGGGTTATAAATAATCATTAAATATCTTTTGTTATTTGGTATTAGGTTAGAAATGTATGACAAAATTATGCGCAAATTAGTGTAAATAATAAATATATCATCTTTATAACTTCTTATACATAGATTGCCCTTAAGACTACATATAGAATTTTCCAAAAAAAATTACAAGTTTTGCGATTAACTTAAAATGGAGGTGATATAAATACTCAATTTATAACCAAAAAGGAAAAGGACAGGCTACTATAAAAGTAAGTAACTTAGAAGTGATGTGTTCCAAAAAAAAAAAAAAAAAAAAAAGAGGTAACTTAGAAGTGAAGGAAAAGAGTAAAATGCTAAGATCCTTACGTCTAAAGTGTTATTAGTTTGATATGAAAATGTACTTTTCATAGAAATTATATTTTATAGGAATTAAATACCTATATCAAATTGTTAGGAATTGTTTAAAATTATTTGATTGACATGAAAAAAAATTGTAAATTGTGGGAATTTTTTTACTTATTAAGGAGAGGGAGGGTTAGGTAATTAACTTCCCATGTTTTCTAAAAAGTCCCAATTTTTTATGAATTTACAATTCATACATTTACACTTTTTTTATTGTCAATCAAACACCTTATCTATTTTCAAATTCCCATAATTTTTCACTTCTCTTATTTTCTCTGTGCAACCAAATAAGCCATAAGTATCTACAATTGAGAGAATTTGACCTTTCAATTTTAAGTAAATCCACCATTAATTGCACCAAATTAAATTCAAATTTAGTGAGGAAGTTTCATAATTTTTGAAAATCATATATTAATATCCGATCTATCATCGGCCATTTGACCAACGACTCAACGAGTTGTTAGTTTGTACATCTGACATTCAACAATACCAAACTTCTTTGCACATGCTAAGAACGGGAGAGTTTCTTACGAAAGAGTGTCACTAACTTTTTTAGAGTCATATAATCTTACCTAAAGGGGAAGATGAGCCAATACGCTAATGAAATAGCTAACTTATTATGACAAATTTCATTGATTATGTAAAGCAATGATTCTAAACAAATATTTGCTAAACTACATTTCACCCTATTTATTCGTTTTTAGTATGAAAAACCTCACTATTCTCTTTGATCGACTTAAAAAAAATGTATTTATTACTCATAAATAAGAGTGGATTGAACAAATGAGACTTTTATTTGGAAATAGAAGGAGCATTAGTTGAACTTATTTTCAAAAGAACAAATGTTATTATCAAAACTAGAACCATAATGGCAACAATGTAATTGAAAAATTAAAGTGATATTTTAAATTGGAAAAGCTTAATGCTCAATTAACTTAGCTAATCTAATCACAACTTAGCTAATCTCAAATTTTAATGATATATGTAGGATATTTAAGCATTAGTAAACAATCTAAAATGGATGCTCAATTAACTTAGCTAATTTCAAATTTTAATGATATATGTAGTATATACAAGCATTAAATAAACAACCTAAAATGGTGTAAAGTTGAAATTTTTTGACAAAAGCACACACAAATCGGAATAATTAAATATCCTTAATAAGAAGTGGCTTCTTAATCTTATACATATGGGTAAATTTATTATTTTCCATGAACATTTAAGATCAAATTATTAGTAAATACGAGTAATTTCTACCACTTTAATTTTATTTTGTGAACTATTCTGATGTCAACTTTGACTTGTCTTTATTTCTATATACATATATATAATATTATTATGCTAAATGTTATAGGAATAGTCTCAATATCTATTTCAAAATATCAATGGTCAAACTTATGCCAATTATAAATTTAAAATAGAGCAACTAATTCAAATAAAGGATGTATCATGTATGTTATTGACGATAATCTGATCTAGTGTTCAATGGGAAACAATAATAATTTAATTCTAAAAATACTCTTTTCTGATTGATGATTAATAAATGAGAATCAAAGTTTCACAACTTATGTTGTGTTGTATCTTATTGCATGCCTTTATAAATATTGATTCATCATCACTTGTTTTAAAGCACCAGTGTATCGCTAGATATCAACTATCGAAGTAGATAAATTATGTTCGTCGACCCTGCGTGCGTCCACCTTGACAGACTTGGTCATCACAAGCCCCAATCGACTTTATTTGTCTTTACTTTAGCTTAAAGGCAAGGGTATACATTTTTTAAACTCGTTGTAGTCTTGTGTTGCTACGTGCTCACAAGCCCCTTTTTAAACTCGGTTGGCGCCCTTAGCTTGCCATCAGATATGCAAGAGTGTACTGCACCCACGATCTAGTGTCAAAACATTTGAATGGTGACACTATGTTGCCCTAACCGTTTATTGTGCACCGGGTCTATTCTACAATTTTTATTTTATTTGATATATATGACACCCTAAGTCATGCACTAATTGCTGAATTTACAAGTGAATTACAAATCTATAATTAATTTTTCTTTTGCCAAACCCTTACAAGTCTGAGAAATGATAATTGTGGCAATAGCTTTAATAATAATTAATTTTGCAAGGTAAGTCTCATGCTATTAATAACCAGAATAAAAGGTAGAGACAACAATACGTACTTCTCTAACCCGATAGTTTACCATTATTGATTATTGCCTACCAAACGGATCATAGATAATAAAGCGGATAGCATTACTAACCAAAAAATGGGTAATGAATTGAACCATACATTGGTAAAAAAGTAAAAACATAAGTGTAGCAGACTAGAGAAATGACCTCAACGTGGGTAAAAAGGGGCTGAAAACCAGTAGCTTTGTACATATAATCAACAGCTTCATTAATTCCTTCATTGTTTGCATTATCATTTGCATGAACAATCCCTCCAATTGCTTGTTGACCGCCTTTTACATCTGAGAAACACGCCCCCATTTCTAACCTTTTTGTTGTTGATAATGCTCCAACTTTAATTTTAAAATTATACTTAATAAATCTAGCCTTTTCGGAAGATTAATTTAATTAATTAGGCTTTTTAGCACTAATATACTTTGGCAAATTTAGTTGGTAATTGGACTTCTTTTGCTGCCAAGACTAATCTCTTGCAAACGTGCCTTCCTTTTTCCTTCCCTTTTAACATGCACTATATATGGACAATGTCGTATACTTGAAAGGGTCTTCAAAAAGAAATTGAAAAGGCAACACAAAAAGTTTTAAGTTTTAAGAGTTATTTTGAACATGTACCGTAGTAGTATATAATTTTTTAATATATAAAGTGAAAGTAAGTAGAGCTATTTACTTGGAGATTAAGTTTATAGGAACGTAATCAAACTTTAAAGAGATCTTCCTAGTGAGTTAAGGTGGGAAACTAATTGTTATGTGTGAATTTCCTAATTTGCGATTCTCCCTAATCATATGGGGCTTTTCATCTAAATAAACGGGCGATTCTCCATCCTCATTGTTTCAAGTAAAATGTAATGCCTAGTCCGTTGTCCTCTTTTATTTGCTTCAAAGGGCAAGAGTTACTTTCTTAATTTTTGGTTGAAATGATCGGTATTAGTGAGAGAGGAAAATGGTGGAGTTTAATGTAGTTGAACTGTTGTCAATTATTCCGTATAAAGTTGTGGTCTCCTACAACCAAAAATAATATAGGGTAAATTTAAAGGGACAGAATAAAAAGAAAAATGGGACAAAGAATAAGAGGCAGAAAAACTACTAAATAAATAGATAAACGCAAGCGACTTTATATCAATTTTATCCTATTTTTAAAGATAATGGGGGTCACTTTTAACAAAGTAAATTGTAAAATAAAGTGATACGTAGTACACTTTTAAAAAAATTGAATATATGAATGCTATACTCTTTTTTAAAAAAAATCTTTATAGGTCTAGGCAAACCCAAAACATGTGTCATCTTTTTCTTTTATAATGAAAAGGCATGGACTTGATATTGGTGAAGAAGAACATCATGTTTCTCTTGATAAGCTCTTACATCTCATTTTAGCAAGCTTAGCTTGGAAGCAACTCAATGTAGTTAGTACTGCCCCTTTTGGTAGCATATCAACTATCAAGGTAAATAGGCTCATATACTAACATTATTCAAAGAGGTCAACCTATTCATTGTCCTTTCATTTGTTGCATGTTATGAAACTCTTGTTATCTGTTTAAAGCCTATCTGACGTAAACTTTACTGGTTGCATAATACGTTGTCGTCTTGTCGGGTGATCTATGATTCATAAAATACTAATGCTACGATTTAATGACGAAAAACGTAATTCTGAAATTGGCTGAAGAAGATACAGAAAAGAAGTTTGTGTTGGATTTTCTCGTTTACAAGTTATACAACCTAGTTGACATCTTCAACCAAATCAAAGAAATTCATAATAAATGTGGGCCTCAGACCAGCACAAATCACTCATTTGTTAGGGTCCAAAAGCAAAGGGTGTGGACGTGAATATATTACAATGGACATAAAACCACAGTATAGAGGGTTTTGGCCCAGCCCACACTACCTCAAAAAAAAAAAAAAAAAAAAAAAAACAACTTTTGTTTTTAATTTTAACATCCACTCCCTTTACTTTGGAATACAAGAATGGCCCAAATCATGTAGCTTTAAGCTTTGGTTTCAATCTCTTTACTCTTGTGTATAAGAACACACCAGCAAGTGCTAAGGCAGTTCCTGCATTGGCAAATTATAAACCAATCTTAATGATTTTGTACATCATTTAGTGTCTTCTAAGATTGATTAAGGTAGAATTAACGTTGTAAAAACTATCTTATAAATGGTGTGGTTTAATTAATAACTCGATAGATGGTCTTACCAAAAGAGTTAAGGGGCGAAATGGGTGTTCGGAAGAAGATCACTGAAGACACAATAACTACAACTCGCTTCAAGCAATTTCCCACTGAATGTGTTACAGCTGATACCATTCCTAATATCATGTAAGAAACCTTTCATCCAACGCGTACAAATTTGTGTTAGTAAAATATAAAAAATACTTCGTATTTATATAAAGAGGGTATTCGAGTTTTTACCTGTTGATAAGTGTGGAAACATAGTCCGGCAACAAGGGCTCTCACACACAATTCTTTAATATTTAACCCTTGATTTGCCTAATTAAGTAGAGTTAAGAAGGAAAAATAAACAAATTAGATTTCATGCTAATATTATTTACATGATAATCTAGTGAATTGAATTCCATTTTGAGTAGCTAACTTACAGCTAATTGAAAATATGAAGGTGAAAATTTGACGCCATCTATCAAAATAGCTGTTGGTAGTAAAAAGACGAAGCAGATGAGAGTAATTATTGAGAATAGATTGATGTTGTCCAAACCCTCCTGGCAATATTCGATAAAGAGATCAAAATTTGCTTATGTCTAAAGTTGACATACACACATTCAAACTCTAATTAACTACATGTAATCAAGTGTATGTTCCAATTTACAATATATCACGTACTTCATACCAATTGAGGGAGTATGATTTAGTGATTTACCTCTTCCTTGACCATCAGCTTTTTACTTAGCACATTACGCGATTGATTAGTGAGATTAGAAGCCATTGCGCTGCCAAAACCCAACCTGTTTGCAAAATCAATTTCATCATTCATCACTCTTGGTTTTGAACAATAGTTAATTTGTTAATAATGTAATTACTCAACACAAGTTATATGTTCACTATAATCTAGTAACATCCATATGCAATCTGCCTTGAGAATATAAAGAAACCCTATTCGATCATGGGTACACATTGAGGCACAAATTTTTTAGGTGCACATAAAAGTACCATGCCTTTTATGCTCAAGTAAGACGTTACACAAAACGCAACATGACATTGGCTTGAGAGTAACATGATGACGAACAAAAAATATAACATGAAGATGAATGAAATTTTTTTGTCAAGTATAGTTAATTTTTGTTTATCTTCGTAATAATATTTGCTAGGATCCAGAGCACAAAGAGCATGGTGCACCCAGAAGCACAATATTATCACAATTTATCTCTAATATAGTAATATCCGACAATAAATACCTTAAATTAAAGCTCACCAGTTGAAAGAAGCCTCTGTAAATGAGGCCAATGCCACTCCACCAACAATAGGCACCAGGGTTAAAACCACCCAAATATTAGGCCTCTGTAATTATATTCTTAAGTTAGCTTAGCAACAAATTAATTTGATCAAAATTATTGTACTTAAACAACAAACTTTGGAATATAACAAGTTATTACTATAACTTAAGGACATTTAATATAAAGCTGACCTCACCAAGAAAGAGCACAGAGAGAAGAACAGTGAAGAAGGGCTCCATAGCTTTGATTGTGTGTGTGAATGAGACTGCTACTTTTCCAAGGCTCACATTTGTTAGAAGGTTGCCCATTGCATGTGCTATTGCTAATGGTAGTATTGCTGCAAACTTTATTTTAATTAATGCATACACCAAAAACAAATTAGTCCATTGTTGAATATACTATTATAGTATGTTATATATAGTAAACATAACCCGGATGTAAATTGAGAATAATTGTCTCACATTAAAGAAATTGAAGAAAGGATGATCAACTTATAAGATTAGTGGACTACTTTTTCAATTATCAATTGGTTATAGGATGAAACCTTGATAGGCCTTTATGTGGTCAAACCAATATGGACTCGTGTTAGGTGTGATGATATTAAAATGAATGGCCCTGACCCATGATCAATACCCAATAAAGGGAGGGCCCAATGACAGCTTGAATAATGAGTTTATAATTGAAATATGCTTGATAAAGTATACCAACAAAATTGTAATGACCTATTTAGATTGCAAGATTAAAGGTGGCACATATATAAAGGGGTTAATTGATAAGTCTAGTGGATTACTCGCCCAATAAAAATTTATCAATGACTTTAGCATGATGCTTTATTTGAGTACGGTATGTAATTGGATCAAACTCTCCTCCTTTTTATTCAATTACTCGGGCGGTAAGGCCCATTTATGACTTCTCTATATTTTACTTTCTCTATAAAATTTCAAGATTGAAGTGCTTGATTGTAATATACCTGTGAACGGGTAATCTTTGGTTTTGGATGAAGATTAGAACCCCACATAAGAAGAACAAGCAAACTCCCACATCCAAACTGGAATGCTGTGATGGTTGAAGGGAATGGATATACCTTAAGAACCTGCAAACATAACTCACATGAGTGCTTAGATTAAAAATTCATCTAAATTTCATTTCTCGATTTTTATAGTTGTACGGCTTGTACCATATTGAATATCTGTTGTTAAATGTATAAACAATTAGTATCATGTGAGATTTTATTAGATGGCTCTTAATGTGTATATTATTATCTACTACCTCCATTTCATATTTTTTACAACTTTGGGTTATTATTTGTGAGGTATAAAATATTCTAAAATTGCAAAAAATATGAAACGGTCGGAGGTAGTATATATAATAACAATTATTGTTATTAACCTATGTAATTAATTATACATTGACACATGCATCAAGTCAATATGATACAACTAATAAAAACAGAGTAGAATAATGCAAATCACCCCATTTTGATTACTAACCTAAAAAAAAACACACACACACACAAAAATAAAAAAAAAATTAAAAAAAAAAATAATAAAAAGGGGCAATTAAAACAAAACATTCATGGAATTTGCCAAAAAAGAAATATAGACTATGTAAAGATTATGGACCTGCTTGTTGTATATATTGAAATAAATATTCAAAAGATACCAAAGGAGAAACATGCCACCAAGCTGCAAAGGAAGAGCCACACTACTAGATTTCGTTTCGGCACCTCCATCCGCACTCTCAGGGATCGAAACTGCTCGAACAACCAACAAATTTCTCGACCCTTGCTTTGTTGAATTAAATCGAATGGGCGAAAATGAGAGAGCACACGGCGCCTTGTAACACAAACTTCCCTCATTGGAGTAGGGTGAGTTAGGATCTATAGTCAAGGAGCAAGCAATATTAGGAGAATATTTCTGGATCCGCCACTGTTCATGACAGCATCCTGCACTAAAGATGTCTTTAACTCTAGATGTCAAACATAACGTTCGTGGATTCAAACCCAACAAAGGCATTTTGAGGGAGTACATACTAGTTGATTAAGACCATTGCATTGCAAATTACTAAAGAATTTGAGGAAAATGTTATTTCATAGTTTAAGTTGAAGAACATTCAAATTATATACATTATAAATGTAAGTTGAATGAATGGATGAGATGTTTGCCAAGACAGCACGTGACCCTCGAGGTGTCCATATGATGTTAACAAGTTGTGAGGATGAGAGCTTCGACAAACACTAGTGAAAAATTTGTGGTTGGTACTTGAAAGCAAATAGTATTAGAGAACCACAATTTTGAATCTAATCTGCCTGTTAAGATCTTTTAAATTATTTTGTAACCTACTGATACCTGTCCACTATAGATTATGACTTAAGATTAAAGATTTTGGAACTTGGTTTTCAATGCACTAGGTAAATATTTTATTAGTATGATTGCACGTGGTAAATATTATAATAATACAAATAAATGAAGTAATGCAGCTATCTTGAGAGGGTTTTCTGGTTTCCTCTATGATTTCTTCCTTGGGAGGGTTTTTCTAGCCTTCGATCCATTGCTAGATTTTTTCTGTTTTTTTTTTTTCCTTCACTCTTCTCCTTTTCTCTCTTTCTCTTTTATATCTTTTCTTTTGGTCTCAATTGTGAACCTTTGTAAGGGCTTACCACCGGTAGCTTCCACCGGTGTTTTTAGCGGTGGTAAGCCCCAAAAACTTTGCTTTCAATAAATAGATCTCATTTTTAAGATGGTGGTTATTCAATAAATAGATCTCATCTTTAAGATGGTGGTTATTCGATTAGGCTTAATTTCTTTTTTTGTTCGTCTGCCGAAGATTGAAGATTTAGGGTTTTATAATTTTCGAAAGTATCTCGAAAACCATATGAGTATTTTCTCTCAAACAACTATTTATCAATGGATCTCAAACCGAATTAGTGCGAACTCATATATTGTATTGCTTCGGATGAAGTTTTTTATTAAGGCAATCATTGATCGAATCTGCGATGTAACTAGTTTTAAGGTGATTTATGGAATTTAGATTTCCTAGGTATTGTTTATAAGTGTCGTTTGGCTATCTTTTATTAATAAAAATCCTTTTTCTTTCATAGTAAAAAAAAAAAATAATAATACACTTTTAATTTATACTCCATAGTTTGCAATCCTCTTTCGTAGCTAAAAAAATATGAGCACAATAATTATGTTTATTATATTTGAGCTATATGGTCAATAATATAGAATTATATGTTCATTCGAGACCACAATGTGAATCATATTGTAAAATGAAGTAATAAATAATAATTGATTAACTTGGTCTAATATAGCCCAAACCAATTACCAATATGGTTTGATCTAATCCAAGATAATTCATAATTCTAGCCACTTGGCAGCCTGAAAATTTTTGCGGACCAAATACTTACATTCTGAACCTTATAAAGTTAACCACATATTCAAAGTTATTGGACACATATGTCAATCGACATGAAATCCATCCTTAGCGTTGCACGACAAACAGTTTTTTCTGCAACATTTTTTACCACAGCAGGTTTTTTATTCGCTGCAACCATTCTTCCAGCATATGATCATATGAAAAGGACCTACAACATAGCGGCCCAACACAAAACGTGCTAGCGATTTTGCCAGCCTCCGGCATAGTCAATATGATGCTTGCAAAGTTGCAAGTTGTCAAGGAGACATAAGCCTAGTAACTAACAGATTACGGATATAGTCGTGTGCTATACAATTCTAGACATGAATCATGCCACAACCGATCAATTTGGGCTGGACCAATCCAAAGCGATCATCTGCGTGGCTATATGGATTGAATAATTAGCCCATGGTTCATAATTTATTAGACAGTCTGAGCACAATAAGTCTTACCTGCACCATGGTGTAGCTAGGATCACGCCATATAATATGAACATTTAAATAAAAAAATAATATGAACACATAAAAAAAATGAACATTCAGTAATAAAAAAATGAACATGTAAGAAAAAATGACCATTTAGTATTAAAAAGTGAACATGTTAAAAAAAATAAATAAATAAATAAAAATTTGATTATTTAGTATATTAAAAGTGAACATGATTATCATATAATCATAAAATTGATGGACCACGACCTTCAAAATGAACATTTAATAAAAAAAAAAAAATTTGAACACGTAAAAATAAAAATGATCATTTAGTAATAAAAAAATGAACACGTAAAAATGAATATTTAGTAATAAAAAATGAACATGTCAAAAAAAAAATAATGAATATTTAGTATAGTAAAAGTGAACATTTATCATACAATCATAGAATAGCTGAACCATACCTAATAAAATGAACATTTCATAAAAATATGTGAATACATAATATAAAATGAACATTTAGTACAAAAAAACATAAACACGTAAACAAATGAACACATTTAAAAACTTATGAACATTTAGTATATTAAAAATGAACATGATTTCATATATTCATATAGGTTCAAATTCATTGTATATAATAATTAACAAAAAATAAAGATAAAATATATCGTTAAATTATGTTCATTTTTTATATACTAATGTTCATTTTTAGTGTACTAAATGTTCATTTTAATGTACTAAATGTTCATTTTGTACAAAATATTCAATTTTAAAGTATTGTATGTTAATATTTTTTTTATTTACAGAACACAAATTCGATTGTAATTTTTATAACTCTAAAAATTTGAATATCCACCTTAAATCTAATCTTGGTTCATCATAGAGACAATAATTATCGATCTATAACATAATAGTGAGGTAAGAAAGAAAATTAACTTATAAATAAAAAAAAAAAAAAATAATAAAAAAAAAAAGAGGAGAGAGAAAATTAATAGAGGTAAGAAAGAAGAAGAGAGAAAGTTAAGATATAAAGAAGGGAAAAAAAACTTATGTTCATTTTTGAATTACTATATGTTTATATATGGGTACAGTGGTGCAGCTAGTTTAGCTACACAAGTGTGTAGCTAAGAATTTGCGTTTTGAGCATCTTAGGTTTATTCCTTAGCATGTTCCAGTCCGTCACAAGACTCAAAATTTATACTTGTATACACTTGCAATTGGTACATATCTGTCATATATGAAAAAATTATGGCAATCCGGGTTGGGAATAGAGTTGATGAAACAATCTAGTTGTGTTCAAACCACAAAACCTGTGACTACAGTTAAGAAAAATTCTCAATCTGAAGAGTTCCATACTTGGCAGAAAACACACTAAATAAACCAACTGTCATAAATTATGATCACAGCATTCTAATATACAAGTAGTCCGATCAACCTATCTATAATTCAGGCATGCAGCAGTGGTTTCTTAGACTAAGAGCATGAGCTAATCCAGGGCTAGGTCACAAAAACAGCCATGAAGATTTGATATCACATTATATAATCAGTCAAGATAGACTTTAACATCGATGCCATTATCAATGAGAGACTGCACTACTGCTCTAATCTTCCCTTCGAATTTGTCTCTAGCCCTTGGGGTGTAAGAAGCTGTGTAAACATCTGCTTCTCTTGCTCTGTCAGCCAGAATCCTACCAACAGCCAAACAAGCTGGTATATCACATCGGGACTTGAGAGCAGCTTTAATATCCTTGGAATTGGTACCAGAAACTGCAACCTGCTTACATGTCACTCTATGAGTGAGAGAGGCCTGGACAAATCGCTTAGAGATTAACACATCCAGGGTAAAAGGTTCCATGAAAGCAATTGTCCGCTGCTTAAATGATATGTGCTTTTGCGGATTCTTTGATTTCTTCTCCTTCTGGTATGTATATGGCCGGCTATTGTTATCATCCAGGTAATCTTCCACCCCAAAGAAGCTCCTTGGAGAACAGTGGGACTGCAAATGGAGGCCATGTCAGACAGGAATTAATCATCAAGGATCAAGTCTACTGAGGTCTTGACCTAGTGTGCATATTTATCAACATAGATGAAATACCAAAAATTAAAAGAGCACATAAATGTTCCTATTTTAAAAGATTAGCTAAGCAATTGGACTCTGAGCCACTCACAACAAAAGGAGCACGCATGTAGTCAATCGACATTGAATAGCAAAATATACTTTTGACTCACAGGCTTAAGATACAGATACAGCCAAGAAATAAGGGTAGTAATATAAGGCCATCACATTAATTTAATGCAAACAACTAACAGATATCAAGTTGCACACTGAAAAATTGAGTCTGCCAAGGGTTCAAAAATGCCTCTCGAGCTTAACTCATTAGCTCACTTGGGTCTATAGTTCAGGACACCATGAGCATCACATTTCACGTGAAAATGATTGCCTATGAAGCAGAGAATGCAATACAATAATGCTGAGAGAAATGTACCTTAGTCAGTTAAATAAAAACACAAATAAAGTAAACAATATGCACAAGGGAGTTGTTCAAAGATGGTGGTTGCAAGTAATGGCTAACAAAGCTGCTCAATTATCCCCAATCATAATTGTTTTTGAGCTCAAAACCCAAAATTTAACTATAATTGCAAGCAAATTAAGGGCAAATCAAACTCGCCATTTAGAGTAAACTAAACCTGTTCATCAACACCAACCTGTATCGCAACTATTAAACAAGTTCAGCTCTGGAACATTATATCGTCCTAAGCAGGTACTTGATCATCTCACTTGGATAACTTTATTAAACTCCATGCCATCAGGCACAATATAATAAAGCATCTTGTTCTTGCAAACAACCCATAAATATATTGCCCACATCCACTCGTAACACTAAATTGAGCATAGTTTATCGCAACTTGGTTCAAAATGTACAAAAGGCTACAAAGCTCTTCAGAGTGAGACTCAGTTCCGTTTAAAATAAGCTCCTCTCCTAAACAGGATGTGTAGCGACAAACAACTAAACCTAGCATGCATCAACTGCATTACAAATTTTTATAGAAGATGGAAATTGATCAATTCTGAAGGGAAAGACTCCTGATTTCTTGATTCATGTTCATGAACTAACATTTACCAATACTGGCTAGTAGCATTTGTATTTTTTAAGGATTGCAAATATCAATGTGCTTTTCGGATTTAATATCTATTGCGAAATATTCCTCAGTATCCTCACACCAGCCTAAGATTGCCCTGAAATCAAGCACCAGTACACACAGCTACTTTTCCTACTTTTCCTATTAACATTTAATCATTGGTTATAATTTCGAATCTGCCTTCACTAAGGAAAACTTCAGTATCTATAACACATTTCTGGCATAAAGATCCGAACCTCATCCTAGAGTTAATCTACATTTGACCAATATGCTAAGTGTATTGCAGTCCACCTCAAATGCCATTCCTACATCCCAAAAGGGTCAGCATTTAACAAAAAATAAATTGTTTTCATACTCATGACAGGTGTTACGTCCTTCTAAAAACTAACCTCAATTTCTTCAAAAAAAAAAAAAAAAACTAACCTCGAACTCTAGCTATAAGTCAGAATGCAGACATTTTTATGCTCACAGCCAAATTCTAAAGAGAAACAAGTCACGAAAAATGCAAAGAACCCCGTCCTTGTCAATTCTCACATCTCATACATTACTCCACTCAAACCTTAGTCTACAATTCTCATGTTCACAATCAGCCCATCACCCACTACCTCCAAAGAAAGGGAATGAATGATAAAAGCTACTCCGTATGTATGACAAAGTGCACATCAACCAGAACAGCATAAATTTCCAAATGTCATCATACGAATACATCTATAACAGCAAAAGAACTGTATATATGAGACTAATATGTAAATCATGTAAACAGGGGCGGAAGATAGTAGGGGCCAAAGGGGGCCAAGGCCCCCCTCAAGTGAATTGCTTTACATTGGTAATATTTGGATTTTAGTACAAGTAAAAGTATAAAAAATTCATGTGGCCCCCGCCAAACAAATAAAAAAAAATTAATACAAAACCAAACTCACACTTTATGTACTAATATTAACGCATGTGATGAGTTTGGTACTTGATATTTCTAGATTCTACTATATTATATTGTTAGATAAGACAAAATATAAATATTGCAACTAAATAAAAATAAAAGATAAAAGAATTATCTAATAAAAAAATAACAACTTGCAAACATTACAATTCACTTCAACAAAAAATTACAAAAGGAAAGTAGTGAAAACCCCCAAAGTGACGAAACAAACAGTACATATCACCATTGAAGTTTCTTGCTTGCTGTTGTTGATTTTCCTTAATTCAGGTAATTTAATTATCAATTTCTACTTAATCTTGTTTGTTTACTTCAATTTTCATATTAATTACAGGTTTAGTGTGTTGAATAAATAGTTAGAGTGAGATTTTGAATTAGAAATTTTGGGGTTTAATACTCTAATTGTATATGTAAATCAGTAAATGTGTAAATTCAAACAATTATATGAAAATTGTGAATAATTAGAATAATTAATACAATTGCAATTATACTTGATATATTGCCCAATAATCATTAGATTTGATTATGCTTTTTTTGCTGTTAATTTTTGTAATTTAGGAATGACAAAGAGGACTATCACTTCTTATTTTCTTCCACAAAAAAAGGGCAGGGGTGATGAAGATATACCTGTTGTTGAGCCAAATCAGCCAATTATCATTGATAATGAAGAAGTCGAACGTAATATTAATAATGACAATGTTGATGAGCAAATGCCTAATGAAGAAGGTATTGGTCTTGATTTTTTAATGCGTGATCCTGGGTTGCGTAAGCAAATTGAGACATATGATTCAGATGAAAAAGATTTGATTAGGAGATCTTACATTGATTTTGGGCCATATCAACCTAAACTTGATAATTATCCATACTCTGGTTCCGAAAAACACCCACGTAGGTTCCAAAAAAGTTGGTTTGTGAAGTTTCCTTGGTTAGAGTATTCTCCCACAATGGATGCTGCTTATTGTTTCTATTGCTTTCTTTTTGCTAAAAAGCCTCTTGGAAGATGTGGTTCGGATACATTCACAGTGAAGGGCTTTAAAAATTGGAAGAAAGTAAATAATGGGAAGGATTGTGCATTTTTGTGTCACATGGGGAAAGATTCCAATTCTGCTCATAACTTTTCAACAAAGTGATATTTTAATCTCAAAAATCAATCCGCTCACATTGAGAAAATAGTAGAGAAAGTAACTGCAGAGGAGATTGTCAAGAATCGTTTACGCCTTAAGACATCAATAGATGCTGTTAAATGGTTAACTTTCCAAGCTTGTGCATTTAGAGGGCATGATGAACGTTCTAGTTCAATTAATCAAGGGAACTTCTTGGAGATGCTAAAACTTTTAGCATCATATAATAAAGATGTTGATTCGGTTATTTTGGATAATGCCCCAAAGAATGCCAAATACACTTCTCCACTAATCCAAAAGGAGATTCTACATGTTTATGCAAGAAAAGTGCAAAATAGTATACGTGAGGAAATTGGTGATGCAAAGTTTTGTTTGATTGTTGATGAGTCTAGGGACATTTCTAAGAAAGAACAAATGGCATTAGTAGTGAGATATGTTGATAGAAGTGGATTGGTAAGAGAGCGATTTTTGGATTTGGTCCATGTCAAAGACACTACATCAAAAACATTAAAAAGGGAAATTTGTGCTGTCTTGTCTCATCATAACCTTAACCTTCAAAATATTAGAGGTCAAGGGTATGACGGTGCAAGTAATATGCGTGGAGAGTGGAATGGGTTACAAGCTTTATTTATGAAGGAGTGTCCTTCTGCCTATTACATTCATTGTTTGGCACATCAACTACAACTAGCTCTTGTTGCTGCATCTAGGGAAGTGCCACAGATTCATACTTTCTTTCAACAATTGATTTTTGTTGTTAATGTGGTCACTAGCTCTTCAAAGCGACATGACGAGTTACAAGCAACTCAATTGGCTGAAATTGAACATCTAGTTGAGATTGAGGGGCTTGAGACAGGAAAAGGTCTCAATCAAATCGGTACATTACAACGACCAGGTGATACTAGATGGAGCTCGCATTACAAGTCAATATCTAGTTTGTTAAGAATGTATTGTGCTACTCGCTTAGTTCTTGCTAACATAGCTAGTGAAGGAACAACTTATGCTCAGAGAGGAGATGCTCTTAATGGAGTTAAGTTGTTAATGTCATTTGAATTCGTATTTAACATACATGTTGTGAAGGAGATTATGGCCATCACCGATGGACTTTGTCAAGCACTACAATTGAAGACCCAAGATATTGTAAATGCAATGCATTTAGTTTGCACTACAAAGACATTACTTCAAACTTTAAGGAATGATGGGTGGGAGAGTTTGCTACATAATGTTAAAGTTTTTTGTGAGAAAAATGGTGTTACAGTTCCCGACATGGACTCTCCTTATGTTGATGTGCTTAAATCTATAAGGCAACAATCAAGACAAAAAGACAATGTGACAATGGAACATCACTATAGAGTTGATATATTTATGGCTGCTATAGATCGTCAATTGCAAGAGCTAAACGCAAGATTTAGTGAGCGAGCTACTGAACTTCTCATTTTAAGTGCGGCCTTGAATCCAAGAGATGGTTACAAGTCATTCAATATAGAGCATATTTGCAAGCTAGCTCGAGATTTTTATCCTATTGATTTCACAGAACATGAGAAAGATCATTTGAGTTATGAATTGCAACATTATTGGCTTGATATTCCTATTCATCCAGTGTTGAAGAACTTAACTACTCTTGGTGATTTATGTCAAGGATTAGTGACTACAGAAAAAATAAAAGATTATCCTCTTGTTTCAAGGTTAATTCGTCTCGTATTAACTCTTCCAGCATCTACAGCATCTACTGCAACAACTGAGAGAGCTTTTTCAGCCATGAAGATAGTGAAAACAAACCTTCGAAGTAAGATGGAGGACGATTTTTTGAAGGACTACTTAATAGTGTATATAGAAAAGGAGATAGCGGAAACACTTAGTGAAGATGCCATCATTGATGCTTTTTATATGATGAAAGAGAGACGAGCACAACTAAAATGATATAAGATAAATGATAAGGTATGTTTTTCTTCATGTAGTACTATGGTAATTTTTTTGGAATATGTTCTATAACTCTATATTCATTGCTTATATAAAATATATTTTTGTTGTTGTGATATGTGGATTAATAAATTGATGTGTGAAAATGTTCATTATTTTTATCGTCATCGTAGTTCCCTTTACTTTGGCCCCCGTTAAATAAAATTCCTGGTTCCGCCCCTGCATGTAAACCATACAAGTAACAATTATAGAAAAAAGCGATATACCTTTCCGGTGTGAATGTTTTTCGTCATCATATACAAACAATGCATAGCTTTATTTCCTCCATTGCTGTGCACTTCTTTACTAAACAGTTCACCAAATACACTCTTCAACATTGCAGAACCAATCAACAATCTAACTCTTGCAACAGCTCGAAATCAATTCAACTGGGATAGAAGAAACAAAACTAATTAAAACCCATAACTTTAAACTAAAACCCCACAAATTAAAGAACACCCATTTGCTAAGAAACACCACTACACAGTTTTCCTTCACTTTTTTAGTTCAAAACTCTCATGTTGCATTTCGTCGAACATGTGGTATGCACTAGACTTCAAAACCCCACAAACCACCAACATACAAATCAAAAATTTATCGCTAAGTAGACAATAGCTCATGTTTAATGCGTATGTTACACGATGCAATAATTATAACGCAGTTAAATTAAATTGGATAGTTTCAAGGTTATTTTTCAGCAAGAATTTGACTGTATTACCAATTGCTTAATACACAGATGAAACTAATGAGCACGTAAATGTGTAATTAAGCAATAATATAGAGATAGAGAAATTAAGAAGAAAGTGAAGGATTAATCAAATAATATATGCTTTATAATTGAATTACCTTAAAAGTTCAAACGAAAGCCCAGAAATGTTGAGGAACTTTTAATTTGGGAACAAAGAACATGAAAATAGGATTTTGTACTTGTGTTTCACAAACTAATGTAAAACTTAAGTTTATTTCATATTATCCATTTTCTTGAATATCAGCAGGGCATTTGGTCTAGTGGTATGATTCTCGCTTAGGGTGCGAGAGGTCCCGAGTTCAATTCTCGGAATGCCCCTTTAATTTATATTTAATGTTTTTGTCTTATCATTGCTCCAAAATACAAGTAATTCATAGGAGCCACGCTGTCTCCTGGTAGGGCACATGCACTGCCAGGTTTTTTTTTTAAAAAAAAGTTTAGTCAAAATTTTGTTTAAATATAATACAAAGTGTATTATTATGTTAGAGCTTACTAGTAAGTAGCCTAGTGGTTAAAGCATCACCTTTTTCAACCAAAGGTTATGGTTCTAATCTCTTGCCCAACATTCTTTTATTTTTATTTTTTTTCACTTGCCCAACATTTTGGTTTTTTTTTTTTTTTTTTTTTTTTTGTCCCCTCTCACTGTCTATTCTTCTTAATCCCCCCCCCTTTTTTTTTTCTCTTTTCTTTTCTCTTAATGTCCTATTAATCCAATTTCCCAAATAACACAAAAACTTACCAACATAAAAGTTTGATCACATTAGGCAAGATTACTTTTCTACCTAAGATAATGAAATTGATGATATAATAATATGCTTTCAAAACTTGAAAACTAGTCAAGTTTAATTTTAACATTTCTTTTTACATGTATGACTATACTTGAATTATTAGTTATAAATCCTTATAAATAGTATTTTGGATCATCCTATTTGATACGAAAAATCTATTTGATTCCAAACCTATTATAAAAGATCTAAAAAATACGAGGTTATTGTTTAAAGCCTTGAATAGGTGTAATATTTAATGTATTTTTTTAATAATAAAGGTTTGACAAATACAATTGCTAAGTAATTTTTGAGTCTTGATATTATGAACATTCTTTCACAAATGTGTGTTTTTTTATTAAAAAAATAAAATAAAATATAAAGGTGTTGATAAAAGGGTTTTAGATGGTAAGGTGTCCTACCATATAAAAATCCTGACTCCGCCACTGATCACAAGAATGGGGGGTTGTGAGGAATCGAACCCCCGGGAGGGGGGAGATGGAGGGACCATCTCCTCATTTCTCAAAAAAACTATTGTGTCTAATGTTTGTCGTTCTTTGTTGCTTTTTTATCCTTGATTTCCTCATTTCTCTTCAAATCTTTTCAATGTAAAGAAGCTTGCAACTCAAATCAATTTTACCTCTCGCTCAAAATTAATTACTATTTCCTTATATGTTATGAGTTAAATAAGTTTATTTAACTTCATTAACTAATTAATTACAAAATTTACCAGGGGTCGGGCCCCAAATGGCCCTGGTGGAAGGTCCCCCTCTATTCTCTTTGACTTAAACTTCTCTTTTGTATTTGCATTAGTATTAAAAAAATTCATAAAACCTTCCTCAAAAAAAATAAAAAAAATCATAAAACCATTTTTCAAATTACAAACAAAAAATGGTAGATAAGTGGATTATAACGTATAAGGAGTAGTACAAGTGTTAATAGGAAGGGAAGTAGTAAAACTTTTCGAGCAAAAGCAAGGTCATCTTACTCGTACATTTAAGCAAGGTCATCCTTACTTTAAGAAGTATGGCCAAAATCACAATTACTTCTTACTGGGCCTCATTTGTATAGCGCGACCCAAAAGGCTAAAATTAATTGACATTGGACTTCATTAACTTCATGGGGCCTAAATGAAACTTACCCAAAAACAATTGTGATGTTTATCCACACGAGCAGTTGACCACACGTCCACACCCCCATAAGATGTGACATGACTCGCTGAATTTTATCCCAGTTTCATCAAGTAGATTCATCATTTATTTGATTATGACATGAAGTATACTTGTATTAAGGTAATACCTTTTCTGTTCTAATAGTTTGACTTTGAGACTTTGTAAAAATTTAACGTTATTTTATTTTGACGGAAACGTTATTATGCATATGCTGTTAAATTAGTAAAAGTATATTTACGTATACTTAAGGATAAAACTTTGCTTCAAAAAAAAAAAAAAAAAAAACTTAAGGATAAAACTAGTTTTTAGGCCGGGTTCATTACATATTTACATGGAGTTGATCATTAATTTACGTTTTAATTTATAACTCAATTTTCTTGTAATTAAATTTGTTAATCATATTGTTGTCATTTGTTTCGGGGTTTTCTGATGTCCTGCGGGAGAGTTACAATTCCGAGACTGGAACCGGACGCCTGTACCTGCAAAACAACGGAGACTCCTGGTGGTGGGAGCTCCGCCTCCAACGGTCAAGTTAGTACTTGATTAAGGAGTAATTAATGCGGAAATTAAAGTGATTGAGTCTCTCTAGGTGAGAGTGTTTAATGTGAGTTTTTAGCGTAATCAGCCTGTAACTCTGTGTGTAATCAATGTGTTTTTTCTGTAATCCCCCCTTAATGAGGATTAAGGGAGGTATTTATAACCTTGGGAAACGTGCCAATCCTAGGTTTAGGTTAACCTAGGGCTGATTGGGCTTCCCTCGGAAGTTGGGCCTGAGTGGCCGGTTTCTCCATTAGGCATGGAGTATGCCACGTGTCATGACATAATAGGTCCAAGGTGGACGAATAAGCGCGTGCCACGTGGCAAGCCCTGACAGTTCCAACTGGGGGACACTTGGCAGGACCTGATAGGACCACGTGGCGCATTCCGATTGGTAGGAGCAAAATCCCCTAATCATTTGCCCCTCACAGGTGGCACGTGACTGGTCACGTGTTACCTGTGACAGGTGTCGCACTGTAACAGGCGACGACCTGCTACAGGTGTCAGTCGGCGAAAGGCCGAGAGATTTTCCCGCCCAAATTTTGAATTCTGAAAGTGACCCTTCGCCTTCTCACTTCGCCTATATAAGGGAGTGTTGACTTCAGTCATTTTCACACTTGAGAACTTTTTGAGAACATTCGGACCCCTGAACTTGCTCTGACATTTTGGACCCTTTCTGCCTACCGCCTGTTCTGACAAGTCGCCTGCAAAGGATTTTCAGAACTTCATCAACCGTCACTCGTTCAGGTAACTGTCGGTTCTCTTACTCTTAATTTTCTTTTTATTCTTTTTTGAAATGGCACCACGGAAGCACACGACACGACCTAGGTTAGTGATCAGCCGGTCACCGGGGACGGCTGAATCTAGGACTAGGAGTGCCGCCTGCCCTTTTCCGGACCCATCTTTTCCCTTTATACAAAGTCCGACTGTATCTGTGTCTATGCAGAGCAGGATGGCCAGAACAAAAAAGACTGCTAAGATCTCAAATTCAGACGGCTCCTCCCACAGGGTGCCGATTAGTGAAACATCTGACCAGGCGCCAGATGTGGAAGTGAAACCAGGCGGCCTGAAAGCCGGCAATTCTGAGGGAGGAGTCATAGTGACCCCTTCCCATTTTACAGTTAACAATTCTGCTCCTTTTCAAGGAGAGGAGGCGGGCCCCTCCGGGAGAGGGGAGGAGTCGTCCTCTTCGGACTCGTCAGAGGACGATTCCGAGTCAAGCTCTTCTGGCCATGCTTCTCTGGACACAGAAGAGAAAAACAGTCGCCTGCAAGAGGCGAGGCTTTCTCACGCAGTTGAGAAGGGGGACAATTGGGCGGAGCCATCCGCCTCTTACCGAGAGCAAAATACCCCCTACTACTGCACGGTACCTCGGGGCCGGATCACAGTCATGCAAGAGAAAGTGGAGAGCTTTATCGCAAACCACACAATGGGCCCCGACTTTTTAGTGTTTGTGCCGGATCCAGAAGACACAGTCGTCTGGCCGGCTGGTACCAGTTATGATAGCGCCTGCTTTGACTGCTACGAGGCGGCCATCAAGGCTGGGCTGCGCTTCCCATTACATCCGGCTGTTCAGCGGATCTTGGATGGGTATGAGTTGGGGTTATGGCAGTTAGCCCCGAACTCCTGGGTCAATGTACTCGGCTATGTGGCCGGGTGCGAACTGCACGGGGTGGAGCCGAGCTTCGAGGCTTTCGCCCATATGAACTATCTCAGCCGGACCCCTAAGGCAGGCGGTACCGGCTGGTATCAATTGACAAGCCACATGGGCTACCTCATGACGAGAAGTAAAGCAAACAAGTGGAAGGACTGGCGGAGCACCTTCCTCATCATTGAGAGTTCAGACACTGAGCTGAACAAGCGCTTCAATAGGTGGAACAGGAATCCGCCCCTTCTTGCAGGCGGCCGTAGCATGCCGCCTGTTCCCCCCAAGGCTAAGAAAGAGATCCTTGATAAAGGACTCTTTAAAGTAGAGTCGAGGGTCGACTCTACTTCAGGGGTACGAGAGCAAGTACCCCTGCACTGCGTCCCGAGCTTCAAATGGCTCTACGACGAGTACTTTTTGGCCGCCTGTGGCCTCAGCAGTCGATGCTCAAGAGGTAGTCGGCCTGTCGAATACTCTGTTGTTCCGTGCATTTTTGTTATAACTTCTATTAACTTTGCTGTTTGCTTTTGCAGCGGACGCTATGAGCAAAATTACCGCCTCCAAGACTGCGGCGGCCATGTTGCGGGCCTCCATCATGCAACAAGCTTCAACCGACTCCCCCAAGAAGGGGGCACCCTTGGTGGGCTTCGAACCTTTCACCCTTTTTTTTTGGAGTTGTGTTTATGCATATACTGACTTTTTTTCTTCTTTTTTAGACGGGTGCTCCAAGGGCTTCTTCTTCCCAACAGCCGGACCCCAAGGCCCGGAGGACGGCTGTTGCGAGCTCTCCTGGATCTGCCAGGAAACATGTGGCGGCTGAGAAACAGCCGGCCACTTCTTCTAAAACTCCAACTGGGCCGCCTAGAAGTATGAAGTTGTCCTTGTAAATTTTAGACTTGCTCCCTTTTTTACTAGGTCTAATCCGTTTGTTTATGCTTGATGCAGCCGGCCCTCAGGAGCCTGACTTGGTAGAGGTGGCCAAGTCTATGATCAGAGTCGTTCCTCCAGCTGAAAGGGAGGCGGTCAGGGGTGTCGGCACCCTTGACCTAGACGGGATTGCAGGG